GGCCCACACCGTATCTCAGGGTCCCCCTCGGAGCCCCACCCCTCCTGGCCACGGGGCTGGCCGGCTTCTCCTGCGCGCTTCCTTGTGTGCGCTAGTGCCACCTTGGACGTGCCCGGCTGGGGCTGTTGGCCCGTCTTTGGCAATGGAATCCCTCCCAGGGCGCCGCTTTGCGGCCTCTCTCCCCCCGGATGACTGCCGCTCCCCCCGGCAGGCTGTAGGCGGCTCGGGGATTGGTCCCTTTCTAGTGGACCCCAGGTACTGCTATAGAGCCCCTGCGGTGCCCCCTTTGCAGCCCCGTGCTGCCCCGCACTCTGCCCGCGCCCGTGGTGCTCCCCCCCGGGGGGGCCTGGGCCTGCGCACAGCGGTCTCATCGTGCACCCCCGCCCCCATTCTACGGCTCCCCGCCAGGATGCGCATGCCTAATCGTCTTCTTACTTGTTTCGCGGCTGTTAGCCGCCCCCCTCTCGATGTGTAACTTTACCGCGTCCACCAGGGGCGCTAACTCACGCATGTTTACCATCTTCGCGGCTGTTAGCCGCCCCCCCCCCCCCCCTCCTTGGCGTGCACGACTGTCTCGACGACGTGCCGACGCTCCCCCCGGGGCGTCGAGGCAAATCGACTCTGGGAAACCGGTTCGGCTGTATTTGCTCTGCGGCTGTTAGCTGCGACCCAACCCAAAAGCGCACCCACTCCCCGCGGCTGTTAGTTGCGACCCCACTCGCTCACCACAATATTCTGCGGCTGTGATCCGCCCCCCTTCTACAGCACCCCGCAGGCCCTCCGTGCTCCCCCCGGGGCGCGCGGGCCTGTGGGTCCTTCGATCTACGTCGGCTGTCCCGCGACGGCCCTATGGACGGGCTGGGTTGGCAGGTTTCGGACTTCTGCTCGGCTCTCGCGATAAGAGCTTTCGTGCCCCTCCTGGCCATGCCCCTTCGTTGGCTCGATCTGGCGGCTGGGATACTGGGGCGCAAGGCCGCGGGCGCGGTTGCTCCACGCTCGTCCTATTGGCGGGCTCGCGACGTTTGGCTCGCGGCATCTGGCCGACGCCGATCTGCAGGCCGCACGCCGTGACATGTCGCTAGGCACGTATTTCGTGGACGGCGGGTACCTGGTGCACCTGGGCTTGGGCGTTCGCTTTTGAGCTGCGCTGCATTAGTCGCCTGCCCTCTTCTCGCCCGGTCGTCGCTCGCGCCCTTTTCCTCCGCTCTGACCTCCTCCACGCTTGCCAGCTGTTGTTTAGGCTCTCGCCCTGCACGTAGGCCTGGCTTCATTTGACTGTCGACGTCGCGCGGCTGTCCGCTAGCGGTCGGTCAACGAAAAAGTATCCCCGCCAGCCCGATCGGCTCGCGGTATCTGATCGACGCCGACCTCGCAGGCCTCATGCGGTCACGCGTTGCTGCGCACGTACTCCGAGGGCGACGGGTTCACTGGTGCTCTTGGGCGTGGTCGTAGAGTTCTGAGCTGCGCCGCGTTTGTCGCCCGTTCTTCTTCGTTGCCCGTCCGCCGCCCGCGCTTTTCCCCCTGCCCTGCCTCTGTTCCCCGCTTGCCAGCTGTGGTTTAGGCACCCGCCCTGCTCCGCGTTGGCCTGGCTTCATTCGACTGTCGACGCCTCGCGGCTGTCTGCTAGCGGTTGCGAACAAAAAGGTATCCCCGCCAGCTTTTGGCTTCTCCCGTAGCCCGGGCTGACCTCTGACGCTGCATGCGCCTTCGCCGCCTTCGCTTGCGGCTGCGACGGGGAAAATATCCCCACCTGCCCATCCAAAAATGCAGCCGAGGGGAGTTGAGGTGATCAGGGAAGCGGGGGAGCATGCAACCCCCCAAAAAAAGTGCGGGGGAAACCGCCATGTACCCCAAGAGGGGGAATGTAAGAGGAGTCGCCGTCGTCGGAGTAGGAGGGCGAAAAGGTGGAGGAGGAGGGGGAGGAACAGGAGAAGGAAGAGGAGGAAAGGGCGGGAAAAATTGCCAGATGTCTCTCGGAGTCTTTCGGGATGCCCCTCGGGAGCTTATTGGAGGCCTCTTGGGGCGTCTTGGGGGCCCCTTGGCGGTTTCGGGGGTCTTTTGGGACACTGCAGATGCTCCAGGGGAGCCTTGTGGAACCTCTTGGCAATCTCTGGGGGGCATTTGGGGAGCGCCTTGGCGGCACATTGGAGCCTCCTGGGCGCATCGGGGGGGGGGCATTTTAGAAGCCATCGATCAAAGAGGGGGGGGCAATTAGCCTTGCCCCTCGTTCGCATCTCGTATCGCCTCTTGGAGCGTTACGGGGCGTTCTCGGAGCGTTCTTGGGCGCTCTTGGCGCCGTTTTGGGGCTCTGTTGGGCCCCTCTCGGGGCCCGTATAGGCCATCTTGGAACCATCTTGGGGCGTCGGATGGCCATCGGAAGCGAAAGGGCGAGTAAGCGAACACACATCGATCCCCCACTTAGGTTTTGGAGAGATGTTGGCCTCTTGGGGGCTTCCGTGAAAGTCTCGGAAATATGTTGGAACCGCCTTGGAAGGTTCTTGGGTTTTTTTGGAGCATGTTGGGAACCATATTAAGGCATCTTGCGCTATCTAGAGCCATCTTGGAGGCCACTTTGGGCTCTCTGAGGCCCTCTTGGAGCCGCCTTCGGCGAAACCTTGTCCTCTGACACCTCGCGCCCCCTCCCCCGTTCAGGTCCAGGGGGGGGGAGAGGGATGAACCCCTCCCCGAAGGGGAAACATGATGTTGGAAGAGGAAACGCCCTAGACCACCTAAGCCCAGAGGGCTGGTGGGACTCTTTCCGCCGAATTGGAGGCTTGGCGAAACTACACCTATTTGTCAGCCCTCATCCAGTTCGCCTGATATCTGTAATTCGCCCGTCGGAGTCATCGGCCGTGACGGCCGATGGGAGGTGTTAGAGTATGGCCCTGCGAGTGGGTGAGGAGCATAGTGACATATGTCAATCGAGCAGCCGTCGTTACCGACGCTGTTTGGCTCAAGTACTCATCAGTGGGGCGTTCATTTGGCCTTATTATCCGTAAGGACTTCACCCCATGCCGCCGGCCCCCTGTCTCGGATAATGGGAGATGCAAAAGCTAAATCATGAGGTCTGGGCTCCGCCGTGAAGCAGTGTCTGGACCTGTTTGCGTTTCGACCCTGACCCCGCCGATCTGCGTCAGGGGTGCCACCGGATTTCAGAAATGTGACACATCCTTTATGTTTTTGGACCCTGACCCCGCCGATTTGCATGAGGGGTTCCACCGAATTTCAGAAATGTGACACAGCCCTTGTGTTTTTGGACCCTGACCCCGCCGATCTGCGTGAGGGGTGCCACAGAATTTCAGGAATGTTGCAAATCCCATATGTTTTGGGACCCTGACCCCGCCGATCTGCGTGAGGGGTGCCACCGGATTTCAGAAATGTGGCAAATCCCATATGTTTTGGGACCCTGACCCCGCCGATCTGTGTGAGGGGTGCCACCGAATTTCAGAAATGTCGCAAATCCCATATGTTTTGGGACCCTGACCCCGCCGATCTGTGTGAGGGGTTCCGCCGAATTTCAGGAACGTGGCGCATCCCATGTGTTTTGGGACCCTGACCCCGCCGATCTGCGTGAGGGGTGCTATCGAATTTCAGAAATATAGCAGATCCCATGTGTTTTTTTGACCCTGACTCCGCCGATCTTTGTGAGGGGTGCCACTGAAGTTCAAACATGTGGCAGATCGCTTGTGTTTTTGGACCCTGACCTTGCGGATCTGCGTGAGGGGTGTCAATTCCCCCCCCTCCGAAATTCTGAGAACCCTCCCAGGGCGTGGTAGTTCTGCTGGTTTAGGCTCCCCCCCCCTCGCGCGTTCATCAATAAGGAAAGTATGCAGCAAGAAGCAGAACTGTAACAGTGGAAACTGGAAGCTGCAAAGGAACCACGAGGGGAGGTTAGAAGAATATGGCGAGCAGGAGGAGGCGTGAGTGGGTGGAAGTGGGGGGGGTGGGGCCAAGGACGGTGGCAAGGGAAGGAGCAAGAGAAGGAGAGCGACAGGGCAACGGGGAACATATTGATCACAAAGCCTGGTGCGTAAAAGCGAGGATGATGATGATGATGATGATGATGATGATGATGATGGTGATGATGATGATGATGATGATGATGATGATGAGGAGGAGGAGGAGGAGGAGGAGGAGGAGGAGTAGGGATACGACGACGACGAGGGGGAAAGGAGATGTGGGTCGAATGAACAGCGCGCGTTTATGTACATACAGGCACAGGGTGATTAAACTGAGTAGGACCTGGAACACTAGGAGTGACAACGCAGGGAGTGACGCCGTGGACGATACAAGGTTGAGAAAGGGGGAGGGAAGGAGGAGGGCAGGGAGGTTGGCAAAGGATCGTCTGGAGAGGTCCGGAGCAGGCGTAAGGGTAGGAATCAGTCTGCAAGCTGAGCGCGCGCTCCGTAGCAATAGGCTGGTTAGATGAGCGTGGGACGGGACGCGAGGATGTGGTGAACAAAAATGGAAAGAAGTGTCGGAGGACGTTGGAAGCAGGGGGTCTAAGTAGATGATCCAAAAATGGCACAAGCCCAGCGTAAGCGGGCGCCACCTATGTTCGCGATGTTGTGTTTTTCGGTTTTGTTCGCGTCGTCGGATATCAAGGCGTGTCTCATGTCATGTCATCGCCGCGCGGCTTCTAGTGTCCCCGCGACGGCGGCGGCGGTGACGGCGAGGGCGACGGTAGCGACGGCGGCGACTGCGGCGACAACAGGCTTCCCAGATGGGGTCTGAGTAGATGGGATTGGAGCATCGCGCCGCATCGCCGCCGCTTATGCGATGCGGCTCGATGTGGAACCCGATCCCCTCCACGCCAACGTCGCCGATGCATGGCCGACGTCGCCGATGCATCCGCGATGCATCCGCGGTGCACTCTCGAGGCGGCGCGGTCCTCCGACCCCGTCCACTCGAAGCCCTCTTGGGAGGCCTCTAGCGACTACGGCGGCAGCAGCGGCAGCGTCTGCGGCGGGGGGGAGGGGGATATCAGAAAGTGCCTTCAGCGTGCTGTGCGGCATCCTGCGGATCAGCATCCCGCAGATGCTGCTCGGCACCTCGCCCCCGCCGCCCCCTCCGCTCCCTGCTCCGCGCAGGCCTGCGGGCATTTTTTGTTCCGTGTAGTTTTTCGGCGTTCTCCCGTGGGATGGAAAACTTGAATTTCGGATGTCAAGCTTCGATTTTAGAGGTAACGAATTTCTAGAATGGAGGAGCTAAAACTTTGCTGTGGTGATCGGACTTCCACTTTGGAGGGAAAGAGCTCCCTCAACGATGGCAAGAAGACTCCAGAATGGAGGTCGGACCTCCATGTTTAAGGTGTTTGATCCTTCTTGGGCTGGGGCGATTCTGGGCCCTTGGACCGTTGGGAACCAGATCAGGATGAACAGCCGGCCCTGGGGAAGGGGCAAAACTCTTGTTGCTGGGGGCCCGGAGAGATCGGCGCGTCGCGGGTGTCTTGGTCACTGGCCGCGGGGGGCGCCAAGCTGTCACCAAGCGCTCTCCTCCTCGTCGTCCTCGTCGTCTTTGTCGTGCGCGTCTTCGGGGGGCTTTCGTCGCCACGGCTGGATCAGTTTCGGAAGACGATGCACCCTGGGACTGGACCAGGTTTGATCGGATGTCGGTCTTAGGTCCTCAACTATACACAAACACTGTTCCTAGAATATTGGGCAGGATTGGCGTACACGCCTTATTGTTGACCAATCCAGGAATGCGCATGCACCGATCCAGGGGCCAAGGTAGGGCATGGCAAGGGTCAGTGTTGGTGTAAAGTTGTCGTCCTGTTACACTTCCCAATCCGCACACTCCACTATTGTGTCCAATTTACCATGAAGCCGCTGGGTTTGGCCCGTCAGGACCTCATTTTGAGGGCTTTCTTATGATGAGGGCGTACGCGTAAAGCAGTGGCATGATGTGGCGTTTCGGCTGGAGATTCGGACCGCGTGCGATTTTCAGATTTGGGGCACCTCTTCATACATGGTGCATCCCACTGGCACGTACTGTGACGTGGCTCCACAAACACGGCCGCGACAGGATCACTGTGCGTTTGATGCTATATTGCAGATGCTAGTTTGTCCAGGACGCAATACTACGAAATGGGGACAATCATATGCGATACAGGAGGGTAAGTCGACGGATTATTGGCAAGATCTGAATCTCAGACGGCGGTGACTATTAAATCTCCCCGCGCAGGGTTTCGCACTCGATTAACAAGAGTGTGTCTGTTAGACAGCCGCTTCTGCAGGTCGTCATGGTGTGAGCGGCTCGATCGTTTCGACCAGCGGAAGGACGAGGACAAACAGTGACATCCAGGATGCAGCAGCGAGCAGCTGGCCGGCATCGTCTACAGGTAGGGGCCCGGCAGACGTTGCATTAATTTTGAGCGTCCTCCTCCTTCTCCTCCTCCTTTTCCTCCTCTTCCCCAAGTGTCTTCTCACCCAGATTGCATCTCTTGGGAGGTTGAATTCAGCATCGGCCCTGTGACATTATCCTTGGTCGAAGCCTGGCCTAGTCCTGCTTACCCTTTTGATCTCGCTGAATTGCGCTCCATCCCGCTCGATCCAGCTCAACACTTGTGTTAGTGCGGCTGGATCTGGCTCGCTCGCTTTTTGATCGGGTCAGCTGGTCCTTTTGGTCTCGGGTCGGACGAAATAAGGGAATTGGAAAAGGGAGGGTACGAAGTCTGCTGCATGCGCCTGGTTTGGGCTTCGACGCCGGGCGCTGTCCTCGATACATGGGCGCCTTCAGCGCTGGGAGGCGTCAGGAAAACCAGCTACATGAGCTAATTCGCTACCCCCCATATGGGTCTTACGCCATTCCGCCGACCCCAGGGGGGATGTGCGGTTTCCGATGTTCTTCCCGTCGTGCTGCCTGCGTGTATTTGCTGCTGATTCGGCTTCCTCCACGTCTATTGTCGGAGGCCTTCGAGGGCTACGGGGGCGGCGGCCCCTTGGAGCCTTTTCAGAGATCCTGCGGGCTTTGGGGTGGCTTCTTCGGGGTCTCTTGGGGACATGCTGTCGTTTTACTACTCTTCTTTTATGTCCGACTCGATCTGCTTTCCCACGTCGACCTCCCATGAACTGTCTCCGCCCTACTCCCCATGCTCCCCCTTACCGACGCCGCTCGAGGCAAGGATCGCGCGCGTGCGCGTCACTTGGCGGCGCGCACGCAGGGGTGGGGCCAGGGCGGCGGCGTACTGAGAAGGCGGGCTTCCAGATTGTAAGATGCCTTCTTGGCATCCCCCGGGGCCTTCCAGGAAGCCCCTTGCCTTCGCAGGCTCCCTGCCCCCCTCGCGACACCCCCTCAAGTTCGCCGCCAACCCGCGGCGACCTCCGCGGGCGACGCGGGGGCCGCCCATTTCGCGGCTCCTTCAGTGGCGTGCGCCCCGGAGCCCCCGGCCCCTCAGGGGCGGCCTGACGGGCCTCCTTGCTGTAGCAAATCGACCCCTTCTGCGACGGCCCCTTCGCCTCGCTCCAACACGCTGGCAGGCGGCTGGAGGGGTCACGGAAGGGGCTCGTCACGGAAGGGGTCGGCCTGACCGCGCCCGAGGGGGCTCCCGCCCCCGTCCCTGGGGGCAAGTGCTCCTCTCTTGCGCTTTGTTTCCCCGTGGTGTGCTCTGTCCCTTCTCGGCGCCACCCGATCTCACAGGTACCCTGCCCATCGTGCTGCTGTGCGCGCCCTCCGTCCTGTACGGAGCTTTCCTCATCACGCCCGTTGAGGACGCAGTGGTTCGCGGGGCGGCTTCCTCTCTTGTTCCCCCCAACCAGAGGCAGAACATTTGGCGTGTGTCTGCTATTGCTTTGGTCCTCTATTCGTGTCAGGCCCCCTCCTACTTTGCGCGGGCGCTCTCCGGGCACGCTCTCTCTCTCTCTCTCATGTGTGTTTCAATGTCTTCGTTTCCCTATACATCTCCCTCCGCAATTTTTTGTTTATGTTTTATTGGTGCACGCACGCGCGCATTCTTCTTCCGAGCCCGCCCCCCCCCAAAGAAAACCATACCCCTGGATCCGTGGCTTCAGGGCCCCCCAGGACGCCCATGCAGGAGGCCCCCCAGGCTTTCCGGAGCTCCTGGAAGCTTTTGATAAGCCTATGCAACAGGCCCGAATCGGTGAGGAGGGCGGCCGAACGGCCCCCCGAGGGCCCCACGCGGCCCCAGACACCCAGCAGAAACCCGAAGATGACCGAAAGATTCCCCAGGCTTTCGATCCGCAGAAAAGCATGGATTTTCATATCTTCTTGCATGATTTCGGGAATGCTCTGTTCTTCGGCCTTCTGGGCGCCCGAGACCGCTGGCCCGAAAATCGTCCCAAAACTATCCGAAAATGTTTCCAGGCAGCCCAGGAGAGCCCCAAGACGGCACAGCAGGGTTCCAAGATGGCCCGAAGAGAGCCCCATGACGGTCCAAGATGGCCCCAAACCGCCCCCCGAAGCATTCCAAATCGTGACCCGGTCGTTCAGGGAGACCGCGGTTGGAAGCAGGATGGCCCGAGGAAGCCCCCAGAGGCCCCCAGAAGTCGCCCAGGAGGCCTCCAGAAGGCCCCGGGAAGCCCTTCAAATTTCGTGAGGCCCCCGAAAGGCTCTCCAAGGAGGAGCCTCCGCAAACAGAGCTGAGGGTGATGGGGAAGAATTCGCAGGGTCGGGCGAAAGGGGGGAAGCAGGTAGAGGAAACATGAGGGAAGGATCGTGGATCACGTTATTATAATGGCGATGTTGGAAAAGGCCACAAGGCATTCTCGCCAAATTGTCTGTTTTACCTTCCTGTCCTTCCGCCTGCATGCAATCTTCAAGGACCAAGGTGCATTGCGCAAAGCGCCAATGCAGTTTCGTATATATGACATGCATGTGTGCAACGCTGTATATTATATACGTATATACGTATGTGTGCTGGTCTATGTATGCATATGTATGTACATATTTGTATTAGATATAACAACATATGTGCATATACGCATGCGCATATACATACATATATCTATCTATATATATATATATATGAAAGAGCGTGTTCTACCGCTGCTGGCGGAAAACCGGGGGGGGTCACTATCGGTTCGAACCCCTCCCCCCCCCCCCCCTCCGGAAAACCGGGGGGGGTCACTACCGGTTCGAACTCCTCCCCCCCCCCCCTGCTCATCATGAAAAGGGGGGGGGGGTCACTACCGGTTCGAACCCCTCCCCCCCCCCCCCCTCCGGATCCGGAAAACCGGGGGGGGTCACTACCGGTTCGAACCCCCCCCCCCCTCGAAAACCGAGTGGGGGTGCGGACAGTGGTGGGGACGGTGTTGGTGGGGACAGTGGTGAGGGGATAGCGGGACAGTGGTGGGGACAGTGGGACAGTGGGACAGTGGTGGGGACGGTAGTGGTGGGGACAGTGGTGGGGACAATGGTGGGAACAGGGGGGGACAGTGGACAGTGGTGGTGACGGTGGTGGTGGGGACAGTGGTGTGGGGACAATGGGAATGAGGTGGAAACAGTGGGACAGTGGAGGGTACAATGGTGGTGGGGACAGTGGTGAAGGCGGTGGCGAGGACGGCGGTGGGACAATGGGACAGAGGTACAGTGGGGACAGTGGTGGGGACAGTGGGGACAGTGGTGGGAACAGTGGGACAGCTCAGTGGGACAGCGGAGAGTCAGTGGGACAGTGGGGACAGTGGGGATAGTCGGGCAGTGGTTGGGGCCGTGGAGACAGTGGGGAGAGTGGAACCGTGGTGGGAACAGTTCTGGGGACAGCGGGGACAGTGCGACAGTGGTGGGGCCACTGGTGGGGACAGTAGGGGCGGTGGTGGAACCAGTGGGGACAGCGGTGGTGAGGACAGTGGTGCTGGGAACACCAGTGGGGGATGTGATGCGGACGGTGGTGGGGACCGGGAGTCGTTTGCTGGCGGTGAGTAGGGGGGGGGACCGGTAGTGACCCCCCCCGGTTTTCCGGATCCGGAGGGGGGGGGGGGGGGGAGGGGGCGGAGGGGTTCGAACCGGTAGTGACCCCCCCGGTTTTCGAGCGGGAGGGGGAGGGGGGGGGGGGGTTAGGGGAGGGGGGGGGGTTTTGCCGGGGGAGGGGGGGGGGGGGGGGGGGGGGGGGGGGGGGAGGGGTTCCAGCAGGGGGGGGGGAATTTTCGGAAGGGGGGGGGGGGGCGACCCCCGGGTTCCGGAGGAAAAGGTTGGCAATTTTCCACAGTAAAGCGGCGGTGGATCACGCTCTCTCATATATATATATAGATATATTTAAATACCTCGGCGGACCGTTCGGCCGCCTTGCTGACCAAGTCGGGCCTGTTGCCCATGCCCAGCAGGGGCTTCCAGGAGATCCGGAAAGCCTGGGGGTCCTCCCGCAGGGGCGTCCAGGGGGCCCTGGAGTCACGGATCCAGGTTCCGGTTTTGAGGGTTGCCCCCCCCCCTCCCGGGCTCGCAAAAATAACAAAAGGAGTATACATGCGAACGTATATGCAAATGTGTACGTATATTTGAACGGCCCCCCAAACAGTGTTGACAGTGCCCGGGTGCCTGGGTGCCCAGGGGTGCCCAGGGGGTGCCTGGGTGCCCGGGTGCCCAGTAGCCTTAAAGCACTATAGCCCTGTAGCCCTATAGCCCTATAGCCCTATAGCCCTATAGCCTTACAATTAGCCCTATAGTCCTACAGCCCGATAGCCCCATAGCCTTATAGCCCTGTAGCCCCATAGCCCTCTAGCCCTGAAACACATCGGATGCGGTTCTTCTGCGGTATCATGTGCGTATATGTAAGCAGACCCCGAAACAGTGTTGACACCTAGGGGTTCTTGCTTGACTTACCTACGTGATTGGATTGGTCTGTTGGGGTTTCGCCTGGTGCTCGGCTGGTGGCCGCCCAGTGGCGGCTTCGTGGCCGAGTCGTGGCCCATTCGTGTCCGCCTCGTGGCCGCCCCGTGCGCCCGCTGGTCGGGTCTGCCGCGGTTTCGCCTGGTGTCCAGTTTGTGGCCGCCTCGTGGCCGCGTGACCGCTCGTGGCCGCCTCGTGGCCGCTTCGTGCGCTTGGTGGGTCTGGCGGAGCTTCGCCTTTTGCCCGCCCGTGCCCGCCTCTTGGCCTCCCCGCTCGCAAGGCAAACCGCATATCTCGCACCACAGAGCTTCCATCACAGATATTGTATCACATAGCTTGCACCGGCTTGCTTTTACGTCACGGTTTGCAACACAGCGATTGCATCATACGCAGAATGCATCACACACTTAGCTATTGTTTACGCTTCGCGAATCCCCACCAGTCCATTCAGAAGCCCTGCCCATGAGAGCTGATGGGAAAAGGGACGAAGAGACACATCTAGTGAAACAAAGCGAGCAAAAAGGGTGAACAGAGAGATCTCTTGGGGCTCTTAGGGGGTCTCGGGGCGCTCTTGGGGCCTTCTTGGGGCCCTCTTGGAGCTCCCTTGGGGCTCTCTTGGGTGCCTCTTGGGAGCCCTGGAAGGCCTCTTGGGGCTGCCATGGAGGGTGTCGGTGAAAAGACGGGGGTACTAAGGTGTAGTCCCTCCTTCTGGGCCATCGAAACAGCCTCTTGGGGTGCTCTTGGGGCCCTCTCGGGGCGCTCTTGGGGCAGTCGTGGGGGCCTCTGGGACCCTTCTTGGAGCTCTCTTGAGCCATCTGTGGGCCATCTTGAGGCCTCAAAAACGCATCGGAAGCGAACTGGCGAGAAGGCAAATCTCAGTGAATTGCCTTAGGTGTTTGAAGGATTTTGGCTTCTCGAGGAGGTCCTGAGGGGTCGCCAAAAACACTTGGATCCGTCTTGTGGCCTTCTGGGGGCCTCTTGCTGGCATGTTGTTAGCTATCTTGGGCCATGTTGGACTATCTTGAGCGATCTTGGAGGCCATCTTGGGCTCTCCGATGCCCTCTTGGAGCCATCTCAGGCTATCTTGGACGCCCTGACCGCTCGCGACCCCCCCCGTCCAGATCCAGGGTAGGGGGTAGGGGGAGGGGTCAAGACTCCCTCCCCGCCCGCAAGCCGTCTCGCTCACTCCCACCCGCCCTCCCAAAACATACGTAGCACCCGAGTCTGGCCCGAGCCACGGCATATTCAGCAGCCGTCTTTAGCTGGGCAGCTACTGGGGGCCAATCCGCCGCCGCCGCCTCCGCCGCCGCCGCCGCCGCAGGCGCCGCCGCCTCCGCCGCCGCCGCCGCCGTTGCTCGCCGCCGCTGCCCGCCGCCACCGCCGCCGCGCCGCCGCCGCCGCCGCCGCCGCCCCCACTGCCAAAACGCCGCCGCCGCAGCCACTGCCGCCGCAGCCGCTGCCGCCGCCGCCACCGCCGCCGCCGCCGCCACCGCCGCCGCCGCAGCCGCCGCCGCCGCAGCAGCCGCAGCAGCCGCCGCAGCCGCTGCCCGCGCCGCCGCCAAGTGTATCCCGTATTGCTTTTGACAAGGATGGTGGGGGGATGCCGCATCGGGTTGGCTGCGCATGTTCCGAATTTGGAGGCAGTGTGTGTTTTGTATGGTTTTTTCAAAGGGATGGTGGGGGGTGCCCTCATGGTTCCTGGTTGGCTACCAGTCGCCTGGGGGAAGGGGGTGTTTACTAACAGGGAGCAGTGGTCAAGCTATACACCCTGCCGCAAGCCGTCTAGCTCATTCCCACCCGCCTTCCCAACACATAAGTTCCACCCGAACCTGAGCATGTTCAGCGGTCGTCTCCGGATGGGCAGCTACTGGGAACCAAAGCCAACCCCAGGTGCGCGACGCTTGGGCGAGGTGCGCCACGCGTGCCAGGGGCGCCACGCGCGCCAGGCACCCCTGGGGCCCGAGCGTGTCAGGTATGCCTGGCGCGCCAGATGCGCCACGTGCTCCGAGTGTGCCAGGTGTGCCGCATACTCCAGCCGCGGCAGGTGCGCCATGCTCGGGGCACGTGCAGAGTGCGTCAGGTGCGCCTGCGCACGTGACAGCACACATCGGGCAACATGTCGCCCCCCGCCATCCTTGTCGACAACCAATGCCCATCATTGTGTCTGGTGGGTGGGCCTGCGCGCAGCAGGCCACGCGCCACCACCCCCGCTGTCCCTGTCAAACACCATTTGGAAGTGATCGCGGGATGGCCGCGCATGGTCCAGATTTAGCCGCGAGGTGCATGTTGCATGTTTTTTATGCCAGGGATGGTAGCCCTGCGCACGGCAGGGAATATGCTGGCACTCCCGCCGTCCTTGTCAAACACAATGCAATGGGACCTCACAAACATGATTCAACACTTTGCCCGTACTTTGCATTGTTGTTTTACAGGGATGGTGGGGATGGGCCGCATCGGGTTGGCCGCGCATGCTCCAAATGTGGAGGCAGAGTGCGGTGTGTATTGTTTTTGACAGGGATGGTGGGGGCGGATCGTCATGGCGTCCTCATGGTTCCTGGTTTGACTGACGCGAGTCGCCTGGGGGAGGGGGTGTCTACTACTAAGGAACAGTGATCAACCTCTGCCTGAAGTGGAAGAAGGGGTTTTGGAAAAAGAGAAACAGACATCGTTAGACCACCTGTCGCCCAGATGGCTGGTGGGATTCATGTCTGGCACCACGTAGATCGCATCACACACATTGCATCACACAGTTTGCACCAACTGGCTTGGAGCACATAGCCCGCACCACATAGCTGGCACACCATCTAAACATATTAGATGTTGCATCACACAGCTAATATGGCATAGCTTGCATCATATAGCTTTCACTGCACAGCTTGCATCATATGTTTTGCTCCATGCATAGCATGACAACATCACTTGCAACGTATACCTAGTAGCACATATCTGATGCATCACATACCTTGCATCACACCGCTTCCACCTCACAGCCTGCACCGGCATGCTCATATAGCATACGTTGCACCACATGGATGGCACCACATATCCTGCGCCGCATAGCTTCCACCACAGCTTCCACCACGTACTTGCATCACATTTGTCGAAGACGCCTACGGCGAATGACCGCCGCCCCTGCCTTTTTGGAAGCGCCTATGTGGCCGAATGTTGCCTCGAGAGCTCCACCAAACTGTCGGGCTGTGTGTTTCCCCGGCCCGACAGCCTGGTCGAGGAGGAGGACAGGAAGAAAGAAGGAGAAAGTGGAGGAGGTCGATGAGGAGGCCCCGTGGGAGCTTCTTGAGACACTCTTGATACCACCTCCTGGGAGATTCCTGGGAGCCTCTTGGTGGCCTCTTGTGGGCTTCCTTGGGCCTCTTGGGAGCCTGTGGGCCCCTCTTCGAGACCTCTTTGGACGTCCCAGGGCATTCCTAGGACGTCTGACGCCGTCGGAAACCGTGTGCTGGCCTCTCTGCTCCGATGTGGGGCCCTCTTTGGGCGCTTCAGGGATGTAATAGTACTATCATCATTCTTGTTATTGAAACACACGTTTAAATCCAATGTTACTGAAACATGATGCTTCTGAGATGCAGCGTCTCCGTACAGTCACAAAACAGATCTGTGGTGTTCGGAGACATGGAACTCTCTAGTCTCACAGAAACGCCTGCTGCGCACGACGCAGAGAGTCAGGCTACGAAACACGCTTGCTCCTAGAAGACGGCCAGACGAATCTCATTTCACATGGATGAGGAGAGGGGCCCGCGCCTCGGAGCAACAAGCGGAGCGCGCAGGCGTATCTTGTTGGTTGAACGCCCACTTGCGGGCAACATGGAGATATGCTGGCCGCCTCACAAACATGCCCAACGAAAGATGGGCAAGAAGAGCCATGATGTGGAGGGATTCTGAATGGGGGAACTATCACGACACAAATTCTTCGTTTGAGGCTAGTGAGACATCGGCCAGGCGTGTTTCGCAGATGGGAGGGCGTATTGGTCACGTTCGCAACTGTTAAGCAGTGGGGCCAGTGGACCTACGCAGCCAACACCGCCGACCGGGACAATCACGAATAAGAGTTCGTGAACTTCGCGTGGAAGTGAGAATGCACCGCATCATATTTTCCAGGTCCTTCCCGAAGGGCCAGCGTGCTCACGCATGACTGTCGCCCATTTAGATCCCACGCGGGCTTACAAAGATCGGAGGTTTGGGGGTGAGGTCGAAATTGCATGGGGCCTCCCAACCGCGAAATCGGCTTCGGTCCTGGTAATCGCACATGACCGGGCGAGGCGAAATTTGCGCGATGGACATAGAGAGATCCCGGCCTTGTCAGGGTGAGGTGCCACCATTTGCTGCTCCTCGTCTGCGAGCAGAGAGTCCCGCGGCTGTCCCGTGGTTGTCCCACGGTTGTCCCGTGGTGGTCCCTTGCTTGTCCCGTGGATGTCCCGTGGCTGTCCCGTGGTGGCTTGCGGCTTGCCGGGTGGCCTGCCTGGCTCTCGCGCCCTTTGTCCTCCTGAGTGGCCCGCGCTGCGCCTGTTCGGACGCCCCCAAACGGCGCAGGACGAGGACGACGCGGAGGGCAGGGCCCTCTGGGAGACCCTCTCCGGCATAATGTTGATGGGGTCCGCCCTCTCGCAGCTCTTCGCGGTCTGCCTCGCCCTGTACTTCCTGCAGGACAAGGTTGGCGGCTCGCAGGAGGATGGGGCGGAGGAGGATGATGAGGAGGAGGAGGAGAAGGAGGAGGAGGAGGAGGAGGAGGGAGTTGGAGGGGGGCGACGACGAGTGGGCTATGACGAGGATTCGGATGACAAGGACGAGGGTGAGAATGATGAGGGCGATGAGGACGAGGATGAGGATCATGAGTGTGATGAGGATGAGGATGAGGATGAGGATGAGGATGATCATGATGGTGGTGGTAGTGATGATGATAGCGGTGGTGGTGATGGTGGTGATGATGACGATGACGATGATGATAACGACGACGACGATGATGATGATGATGGTGGTGGTGGTGATGATGATGGTTGTGATGATGATGCTGTTGCTGATGATGACTACAAAAACGATGAGGAGGCTGATGATGATGGTGGTGATGATGATGATGATTATGATACTGATGGTGATGAAGATGATGATGATGGTGATGATGATGATGATGATGATGGTGGTGATGATGATGATGATGAGCATGATGCTTTTAAGGGTGATGATGATGATTGTGGTGGTGGGGTTGGGGGAGGGGGTGATGATGATGATGACGAGGATGATGATGCTGAAGATGGGTTGGTGATGACGATGGTGGTGGTGATGAGGATGAGGATGAGGATAAGGATGAGGACGATGATGATGATGATGAGTATTATGATGATGATGAGGATGATGATGATGATGATGGTGGTGGTGGTGGTGATGATGATGATGCTGATGACGAGGATGAGGATGCTACTGATGATGATGATGATGATGATGCTGATTATCATGATTATGATGATGATAAGGATGATGAGGAGGATGATGATCAGGATGCGGATGATCATGCTGATGTTGCTGATGATGAGGGTGAGTATGATGATGAGGATGTTGATGTTGATGATCACGATGATGATGATGATGATGATGATGATGATGATGATGATGATGATGATGATGTTGCTGCTGATGAAGGTGGTGATGCTGTTGATGATGATGATGATGAGGATCGTGGTCATGATGGTAATGATGATAATGATACTGATGATGATGATGATGGCGATGATGATGATGCTGATGATGATGATGATAATGAGGATGATGATGCCGAGTATGAGGATGATCATGTTGATTATGATGCTGCTGCTGATGCTGATGCTGGTGCTGATGATACTGCTGCTGCTGATGATGCTGATGCTGCTGCTGCTGATGATGCTGATGATGCTGATGCTGATGATGATGCTGATAATGCCGCTGATGATGGTGACGCTGATGATGATACGGAGATGATGATGATGATGATGCGGCTGATGATGATTATGATGATGATGATGCTGATGATGATGATGATGCTGATGATGCTGATGATGATGATGCTGCTGCTGATGATGATGCTGATGCTGATGCTGATGCTGATGCTGATGCTGATGATGATGCTGATGATGATGATGATGATGATGATGATGATGATGATGATGATGATGCTGATGCTGATGCTGATGCTGATGCTGATGCTGATGATGCTAAGGATGACGATGAGGATGAGGATGTTAAGGATGATGAGGATGATGAGGATGATAAGGATGTCCTCGGGAGGCGCTGATGGATTGTCCAACAGTTGTCAGCCGCGGTGCCTCTGGCGGCGCCTGGAGTTCTGGGCCACGGCCTTCCCGGTTGCCACGGCCCAGTGGCGCAACGCAGCGGGTTGCCGTCGGTCCTTTTCGAGCTCTGGCGACGCAGGTCAGGGCAGAGCCTTGTTGGACAGGGCTGTTTCTTGAGCACTGCTCCCTCCTTCGCCCTCCTGCGCGGCCGCTCTTTTGCTTTTCCTCTTTAGTTTTGGTGCGCCATTCGCCCTGCCGCGCCTCGGCTTCTTCTCTGCTCGCCGCCTCGTGTCCCACGTCGCTGCTGACAAACCAGCTTCTTGAGCAGCGGCGCGCACGGCCGAGTCCGTGTGGGGGGGGGGGCTAGCAGGGCTGTCAGGGAGCGGGGAAGGGTGGGCCCAGCGCTGCCAAGGAAGGCCAACAGCAAAGTGTCACGTCAGAGGCTTCCGGTGCGATGGCCTGGTCGGAGCGGGATCAAATATGTGCGTGGCCGAGCATCTGATCCATGAACTTCCTTCCAGAAAATTGGGCCAGCGTCTCTTAGCTAACATGCTGGACAGCTGGCCCAGTTTCTTAATCACGTTCGCCCTTCCAGCGATCACAAAACACGTGGCCCAGATTTATCTGGATACGCTTCCAGGAAGCTAGCCCGGCTTCTTAAAATACGATTTGTTTCTGAAGAGTCTTGTGTCGGTTGTATGTGTGTGTGGTCGAGCAAGGTTCAGCTATTCCGGAGGGGTTCTTTTGCGCTGTGTTCGTGGCTCGCAGGCCAGGGCCGACAGGGCGACGTGCAGCACTCGGCAGGTGGTGAGCGGTGAGGAGCGCCGCTGGCCTCTGGATGAGTATTCGTATGCTGTGTTTCGTGCGGCGTGCGTGTCGAATCGTACGTCCACTTACCCGAGGGGGCGTGGGTCTTCGAGGCTTCCCGGGGATCTGAGCTGGGTGAGCCCCGAGCAATCGGTCAAGAGCTAAGAGGGGGGATGCTGGCAAAATCTATCAAAGTCGGTCCCCAGACCTCTTCCAGGGTCGAGACTGACCAGTTTTTCGGGCTGCGTCCAGCTGTGGCGATGAGGGGCCCCTTCCTCCCCCTTGTCTTTCAGAATCTATCATCGGCGCTGGTATTTCCGCGTCGAAAACCAACCTAGTCTGGCTTAGTCCCGAGCAATCTGGCACACTCCCGCGGAATGCGGCGCAACCCCAGGCCGAATCCGGCCTATTCCGGGTGAATGTCCCCTTAGCTGGGCTGAGTCGCCTCTGATCGGTCTTACGAGCTCCTCCCAGGAGTTGCTTCCTAACATTCCTGCTGGCCGAAACCAGTGCTGGGCCACCTCGGCCCCCCAGCCGCGTGGGCCGCCCCGCGCCACCTGGCTCGAAGCCGCGCGCCCCCTGATCGCCGAGGCCTTCAGGCACTACGAGTACCTGGCGCAGCCCAGGCGCCCGCCGCCGGGCGGGAGGTGTGGGCGGAGGTCAGGGCAGCACGAGGGTCGTGGCCCCGATAGGGAGCTCCACCGAAGGCCCTGGAGGTAGAGCTCGCATGCGCGGCTGCGCCCACCTCGGCACATCCCTCAAGAGGACCGTGGTCCCATAGGGAGCTCCACCGAAGGCCTCAGTGGCAGCGTTCGCATGCATGGCAGTGCCCACTTTGACACACCCCGCACGGGCTTCGTGCCCCCACCCGGCCACGCCAGCAGACGCGCAAGCCAGCCGTACTGGGTTACATCCAGATGTACCCGGTTACGGCTGACCTCCGTGACCCCAGCAACATCTTCGCTTCGTCATTTTCACCCGTGCCCTGGTCACTTTATTCGCCCCCTTCCCCAGTTTTCACTTGTCTTGCGGTGCTTGCGCCTGCATATGGTTGGGTCCCAGTTCTTTATTGCTTTTCCGGGTTCTTCGCTATCCTTCTTTTCTCTTTCCTCTCCACAGTGACCGCGTCGCGTAAGAAAGACAATCGAGCAAGTGCAGTGGCAGCAGCCTGGAGCAGGGACAGCGAATCACGCGACGAAGCTGGAGGGCTGTTTGGATGCTCCCCCGCCACATTAGACCCACACCTCCGACATCCCGCTGTTCCATCCACGTCGTGGGCCCCTGGACCGCTCGCGCCCAGAGGCCGCGCGGGTAATTCTTGTCGACGGCCCCGAGGCCTGCGAACGCCCCCCTGGAGGCCGAGACATCATTCTCGAAGCAAGTCCGCGGTGCTCTGGTCGCACGCCGGGATGTCTGGGATCAGCCAGCGGGAGGCCCGAGCACGCCAAGATCATCGAGCTCACCCAGAGCGAGGCGGCGTACAACGACGCCTACGACAGGGTCACGCACTGGAGGAGCCGCGCCGTCGAGCGCCTGGCCGCGGGGCTCATCCCGCGAGGTCGGGCCTTCTCTTCGGCCTCGCAGGCGGGTGCAAGTGCAGTTTTCTGCACCGGCTGAAACAAGCAACCAGTTCGAGGCCATGCTCCGACGCAGTTGTTTTATTCAATCGCTTCGCTCATTCCGCCGGCCCATGTTGCGTGATCGCTACTGCTTCGCCGTGGGCCCGGGGCCACTCTGGCGCCGCCGAGGAGGGGGAAGATGAGGATGGGGACGGGGAGGGGAGGAGGAGGAGAGGATGAGTAGAAGAGGAGGAGGATGAAGATAAGTAGGAGGAGGAGGAGGAAGAGGAAGGGGAGGAGGAGGAAGCCTCTCGTTGGCATCTTGTGTTGCTCTTGGGGCCAAACAGGGTCGTCGTCAAGATGCCCTCTTGGGGTCTTTTGAGAAGCCGTTCGGGGGCGCCTGGGAGGCATTTGTGAAGCCTTCTGGGGCCTCTTTTGGGCTTCCTGGGGGCCTCCTGGGGCCTCTTGGGGACCTCTTGGCGGCATCTTGGGGCCTCTTGGGGGCCTCTCGTGGCCTCTTGGGGCCCTCTTGGGGCGGAAGGCTAGAGTTTTCGGTTCGTGGTCCCCCCTCTTGGGTCCCTCTTGGGGCCGTCTTAGGGCCGTCTTGGGCCGTCTTGGGCGCCTCTTGGGCCGTCTCGGGGTCCTCTTGGGCCCTCTTGGGGCCCTCTTGGAAGCCTCTTCGCCCGTCTTGGGGCATTTTTGGGGGCCTCTTGGGCCGTCTTGGAGCATCGATGGCCGAAAAGGCGACAAGGCCCAAATCCTTCCAAAACCATCGTGAAATGTGTGATTTTGCAATTTCGGGGCCCTCTTGTGAGGCCTCTTGGGGGCCACTTGGAGGCCTCTTGGGCCGTCTTGGGGTCATCTTCGGCGTCTTGGAGCGCTCTTTGGGCGTCTCGGGGGCCTCTTGGGCAGTCTTGGGGGCCTCTTGGGGCACTCTTGGCGCGCTTTGGGGGGCCTGAGAGGCCGTACCCAGGAGGAAAACCATCTCTGAGTAGACCTGGTCGGGCTGCCGTCGGATACTTTTCGCCGGGGGACCCCCAGGGGCCGCCCCGCGCGCGCGAACTAGAAATAGTGTTAACCAGTCACCGGAGATCTTAGCACGCCTCTGGCCCGTTGGGCCGGCGAATTTTGCGCACGGCGTGGGGCCCTGGAGCTTTCGACTGAATCTTCGTTGGGCCGGCGTTGCGCTGCGGGCTGGTTTTCGCCCGAAGACGGCTTTCCCGAGGCCACGATTGCGAAGACACGCCCGTACAAGGCAGGTTGAAAACCTGGCCAGGGCCAGCTCTTCCACTCTTTCCAGCCTTGGCCCGTTTTTCTTCGGTTTTGCCAGCCCTGGCAACACCATCCCGATTGTTTCGGGCTCGTTCGTTTCAGGCCCTGCCAGATTTTCCAGCCCTGGCCACTCGCACTTCTACGCGCTATCCAAAATCTATTGTTTCTGCGGCTTCCCTGCGGTGCTTTGTTCGTGACGCCTCGTGGTCTCGGGTTTTGGTCGGTGGGGGGGCATCCAGGTACACCAGTGAGGTTTCACCACGTGTAGGGAAACGGCGAGCTGGTGGGCTGTCCCCTGATACACCAGCAGGTTCTTTGCTTTGAATCTTAGATGCGAACCAGTGATGAAATCCCAAAGGGGCCCTGGTGCTCCCGTCCCGATGCCGGCTGCATTTCCTTTGAAAGCGAGGGTTGCGTTTGAGTGTTTCGGGCGTGCGCCCAAATTGGCCTCCCAACAGTAACAAATATCCTGCCAGATGCGTTTAATTTTTTCACTCAGGGCTGGTACTCTTGCTCGCCGACGAAAACCACTCCTCCATCACAGATGACGTGATCACTCGATCATTTCTCTCATTTGCCCAGGACTTGCGATCTCGCCTCGGCGCCGCAAACCAGCCCCCCTACAACAATTACGCTTTCGCTCGACACTCCCTCCGCTTTTGCTCAGGACTGGTGCGCTTGCTCGCCGCCGAGCCAGCTCTCCAACTAGCTTCCGCTCAATGCCTCCTGTTTTGTTCACCCAGGTTTGGGTGTCTCCTGCTCGCCGCTGAAAGCTGGGCCCCCAACAAAACCAGCGCTCCGTCTCGATGTCTTTGATTTCTAATCAGGATTGGCGCCCTCGCCTTGGCGCCGCAATCCAGCTCCCCTACAACAGCAACGCCTATTCGAGAGGCCCCTCTGCGAGCGGGCCACCCCAGATATCCGACGATCTGTTTTTTTCTATCCAGGTGTTTTCCTCGACAAAACCCTCCCTCCCGCTTCATATTTTCTATTCAGTGATGGCGCTCGCGCTTTGGCGCCACAAACCAGCCACCCTACAACAGCAACGCTTCCGCTCGATGCCTCCCTACAATAACAACGCTCCCGCTCGATACTCCCTGGCTGAAAGTCGTAAATGGCCTCGGGAGTGGTGTTGGTTCGACCTCCTTGGGCGGAAAATCTGGGTGTGAGGGAATACAGGCCCCCCTTTCCTTACAGTCTCCCCATGACAGGGCACGGGCACACACGCCTCGCCGCATGTGCTGGAATCGGCGCCTTGCTTTCTCGCGCTCCTTCGCCTTGCGTTGCCAGCAGCCGTCATGTGCAATTGTGGGATCCCTTGGGGCCCATTGGAGGGCTGGCTCGGAAAGGCACCCCCGCAGCATGCTTTCCTGCCAGCTGCCGGGCATCTTGTGGATCAAGGCCGCTGTACGGCAGGTTCGTGTTGTGCCGACGCGGCGGCGACCCCAGCGCGGGCGTTCAAGGGAGAACGCCGCCAGTGGTCCAGACTCGGCCAATATGGAACGATCTGGCGATCGAAAAGCAACCGATCGTTGAAGGCTGACCAATCCTCGCGGTGTCAGAACTCAACGCAAGGGTCGTCAGCACACGAACCTGACGTACACTGTGTGCCGTCTGCTCCTCCTTCGTAGTTGTTTTGGCTCGGAGGGGAACTTTTGTGTCCCGCGCCTGGGGACGCACGCGGCGCAAGGGGCCGATGGCGTTCAGCATAGGCTCAGTCGTGGGGCTCCTGGCTACCCTCTGGGCCGCAGCGTCCGCGGCGCCCAAGGCTCTGCGTCCACTCTGTGGACCCCACCCCGTGCGGGTCCGTTCGACGCTGGAGTGTCCGACACCCCCCTGCTTGGGGCTCACCCAGGGCGATCCAGAAATGGCCTCGCCTTCGGCGGAGGCCGGCGGACTTCGGCAGACGTCACATGGCGGCGGGGTCGCCGGCGGCAGGTCAGCGCAAGGCGGCGGAGGCGAGCGCGAGGCGTCGATATTTCTGGATTTGGGGTTTACGGGGTCGGCCACTTGGCTGCAAGCATCCTTCATGTTCTGGCCCTCCGCCGGGGTGAAAGAGCTCCGACCTGCAGGGGTAGGGTTCACGCGTGGCTGCCTCTACTCGAGATTGAAAAGCGTGCCAGTGACACGCCGCCAGTGGGAGCTGGTCAGCGTGTCACTCGGTTGCTCCGTCGTTTTCGTCCGAACGCCTGCCGTCTCTTCAGCAGTGCCACGCTGATGCGTTCCCCTCGGCGGCGTGTCATTGACATTGTTTTTGCTCCCCCATCTGCAAGGCCCCGGCCCCGCCGCAGCCCCCGGTGGACGAGGCGGAGATCTCCAGGATAGTCAATCTGCTGACGGATCCCCTGCAGGCGCAGATCCGGGAGCTCAGGCGCATGACAACGCAGCAGGCCGAGAGGATAGACACTCTGGAAAAGAGCTTGGCGCTGGCCACAGAGGCCGCGCAGTTGGCTGGCGGCAACGCCACCGCGGCGGTCGCGAGGGCCGCGGTCCTGGAGAAGCACGTGTCCGAGGAGGTGTGCTCGGCTGCGGCCTTTAACGATTACAAGGCGACCGCCTCGAAGGAGCTGCTCGCGCACAAGGAGGCGCTCGAGGCGTACAAGGGCGAGGTGGCGAAGGGCCTCGACGCAGGCGCCAAGGGGCTGGAGGAGCACCAGCGCGCGCTGTCGACGCACAAGGAGGAGGCTTCGAAGGGCCTGTCGGACCTGAAGGAGGTGCTGGAGGCGCAGAAGGCCGCGACACAGGAGCTCGTTGCCCAGCAGAGGGCCGAGGCGTTCAAGAACCTCAGCGCTCACCAGGAGCTCCTGGAGGCCCACAAGGCCGCTGTCCAGGAAGCCTTTGGCACCGCCCGGGCCGAGGCCTTTGCGAACCTCACGGCCCACCACGCGCTGCTGGAGGCCCACAAGGCCGCCGTCAAGGAGGCCTTTGACTCCGCTCGGGCCGAGGCCTTTGCAAACCTCACGGTCCACCAGGCGTCGGTGCTCCGAAATTTCACCGAGGCCCAGGAGCTCGTCAGTGTGCACAAGGCGGCCGCGGAGGAGGCGGTGGCGGCGCTGCGCGCGGAGGCGCAGAGGAATCTATTCAGGCGTGCTGTCGCGCGAACCCGCCGCCGCGCAGTGGGTTGGGGAACCAAGATAGGGCGGGTGGGCTGCGGATCGTCCACGGCGCCCGCTGTCCGCAACTTCGCTTTTGGCTCCACCTCTTCCAGACGGCTAGGGGCTTGGAGCTCAGGAGGGTTCTTGCATGTTGGCCTCGATGAGTTGGCGGGGCCACACTGTTGCTGCGCCAGGAGCAGAGGTAATAGAGAACAGTGGCCTTGGCATGCACACGAGTACACGCACACACACATTCACATTGACACATATAAGTACGCACGTGCATACGTACACACACACACGCACGCACCCACGCACGCCTGTGCACACACATGCACGCTCGCACACACACACACTCACGCACACACACACTCAAACACTCACACACCCACATACTTCAACACACACGCACACACGCACACACACACTCACGCACACACAAGCACGCACACACAAACACGCACACACACAAACACGCACACACTCGCACACACACGCACGCACACACGCACACACGCACACTCGCGCACACGCACACACACACACACACGCACACACACACACACACGCTCACACGCACACGCACACGCATACCCGCACACGCACACGCACAAGCACAACCACATGAACACGCACACGCACACGGACGCACACGCACACGCGCACACGCACACGCACTCGCACTCGCACTCGCACACGCACATTCCGACACACAC